CACTGCGTGTCCTAATTCCCCACCCATAAAACCCTATAACCACCGTTTTTGTTGGAAAACATGCAGGGAATAGGGGTATATGAGTTGGCATACATAAGCTACTGTTGCCGACGGGGGAAGGAAAGTTATCGGTGAGCACATGGATTTGCCGTCTTTGACTAAATGTCAACTGGCGGCAAGTGAATGGGAACATTTCTAAACGACAGAGAACAGTAACGCTAATCTAAAAGACAAGGCAAAGGACGGGTCGCTTGACGGCGGACGAGGATTGTTTCTGAACATCCGCCTTGGCAGTTGTTGACGAGGGAAACTTTAGAAAGCATGTCGCTGCGCGGTCTTGCCTTTGCCTTCCAATTAACTCTCAACTGCTCTCGAGGAGACAAACATGAGCGCAGACGGCAGTGGCCATCGCTGAGACTTTTTCTCCTTTGTGTTTCTGATGTCCTGTCTAAAAACTGTACCTGACAGTGATATTCTCTCCACGTGCTTAACGTATGCACATTTCTCTTAGACTGGCATAGGTCTCCCGCCCCCAGTCCTACAAACTCAACATATTGGCTTTACCACGCGGGTGACGTATAAACTTTGAGAATTCACTATAAGACATTACTAAATTCTGTGCAACTCCCATACTTTCATTGTGTGCATCGTTATGTAGGCCCGATGGTCAATTTTTTGCCGATCTTCTTTTCTAACCGCACTTAAAAGGGGGACCCAGCAAGCGAAAATGATGGTCAGAGGTAGAAAAATGCGATCGCTGGAACAATAAATTTATTTGCCGGAAGTTTCGGATTCTGTCGAGGATCCTTAATCACATGTAATCGTGGTTACCTGGGATTAAGGATTCTCGACAGAATCCGAAAAGTCCGGCAAATAAATGTATTGTTCCAGTGATCGCATTTTTCACTTCTGAACCACTTCCTGGAACTCGCATATTCACTTCTGACAGAGGTCTACTTAGCCCTGCGAGCCAGATAGACGTAAGAAGTCACGTTGGCACTTGTACATATTACCCGTGCCCCTTCCTATCACATCTTCGCCCTCTCCCAGGTTCTTCACGTTCTAGTTTACCTTTGAAACCCCTATTGTTAACGTACCGCTACGCCATATATATTTGTACACGCAGGCTTAAACATTGTAACTTTTCAAATAGTATTCAAATACTGAGAGTAGAATCGTTTTTACACCTAGCTATTTTCTGGAGCCTGTGTATTATTAATGTGAATTTAGTCTGTCAAGAGACAACCAGGGGGGAGATAATTATCGAAGCGATTCTTGAATAATTGTAGGGACGTCGCTTCCATGACTGATACTGGTAGATTATTCCATCATCTTCTTGTCCGACGGGCATCGGTATTTTAAGTAGTGCACCTCATATATCCCTACCCCGGCATTTTATCCTGTGGAAATGGTGGTTATAGGGGTTTTATGGGTGGGAAATATTGAAAAGCAGTGGAGTATACTTTTACAACTGCTATATGCATTTTATTGTATTTAGAAAGGTTGTTGGTTTATATCTGGAGATTTCACTTATTTGTATTATCGTTTAATGTATTGCGGAAAATCCCGATTATCAAAATTCAGTTTTTTTTGAAATTCCTTATAAAATGGAAATGATGACAAGAAAGTCGTATACTTCGACCTACCTGAGGTACAACTTACAGTTCTGATGTTAGACTAGTGTAGTCCGCGACGCTAAGCGCCACGCACACATTCACTTTACATGCGGAACAACTAACTCCCAACGACTGCGGGAAACAAGTTCAACTATATTGTTCCACTTTCTACTTACTTCTACAAATTTCCTTCACTACCCATGCTATTTCGCCACCCGCTAACCCCCTGTAGCCCCATTTTTCGTAGGAAAAAATGCTGGAACTAGGGGCATATAAAGTGCACTACTTAAACTGTTTGCTGTCCGTTGTGTGAACAATTAAGAGCAGAGATCTGGCTTAGACTTCTCCATCTGCAAAACGACTGCGTGTTGACGAAGCTTGGGCGAGAGGAACCACTAAATCATATCCTAAAGCGCAGTCCTTGCTCAAAGCCGTGTAGTACCTTATAAACTTAGCTGGAGGTACCTCTTTGCTGCCTGTAATACCGGGCAATAAATGTAAGCATTCCAGTCATTTGATAAAAAAAATGGATTTTTAGACCTCTTGCTAGCTTTGTCGCACAAAGCTGCACTTTCTCACACCAGGGCCGCCACGCTTGTCTATCACAATCCAGGTGAGGTTAACCGAAGTAACCATTTACTTTACAAAACAGCGATCTTTCTCGAAAGCTTCAGACACGCTTTTGATAGCGTGCAATGCTCACCAAGGGGTTGTTTGCAGCCTTGACGCAACGAAATGATGGCTTCAGATTGCTCTCTATCCAAATAATGATGTCTTTGTATCTAGCTTCTCTGACATTTTAAGGGTTTTTTTCCAAAAAATATGCCCTTATGCTGTCACTCATAAGGTAGTTCGTTGGGTGGCTCATTTTTGCACACTGAAATCTGGCAAATATCTCTCGGGCCACGTTTTCAGAGCTTTCCCGTCGCTCGGACCCTTAATGACTTGTCAAAACTAAACTTCGTCGGTAACCATTATCTCACTGCAGTTCATTACTTGCAGGTAATCAAGTACATAAACGATGACGAGTAAAGGACCGAGAACGGAGCCTTGAGAAACAGCACTAACAATTCAGTCCGAGTTATCCTTTTCGGTGCAAACCTGTTGTTTTCGACCGAACACAAATGCCTTGATCCAGTTCGGAACTTCCCACCTGATGTCAAGTACTCGTAGTTTATGTAAGAAGCGTTGATGGAGCATGACATCAAAGGCTTTGCGGCAATTGACTTACACTACATCTACTTGGAAGTCTTTTTTTAAAGCATTCGTCCAGACTTCAAGAGAAGTGAGCCCGTTTGAAATTAGACGTGCTATCGTCAAAAGCCACGCTGTAAATGCTCTAATGCGTCATTTTCATCACAAATCTTTCATTATGTTGCAGAAGAGGCAGGTCAAGGCTATAAGCCTAAAGCCGTTTGCTGCCATCTTGTGGCCTCACGTATATGAGGGAACGATTATGGCCGAAGGCAAGTTCCCTGATCTCACTGGCAGGACCACAGATATGACATAGACAACGCTAGCTCGGTCAACAGTGCTTAAAGCACCAGTTCAGGGATTCCTTCCGCCCCAGGAGACATGCCTGGCTTGATCTGGCTAAGGTTTTGTCTTACTTCTGCAAAGCAAAAGACTACAGTTTGATAATGACCATATATTTGCCCACTTCAAATTCCGATGCTACCGTGATAGCCGATCTAAAAAACTCGGGTATACCCTGTACTTTCTGTGGTCCTTCAGTTCATTAGTTCCCAAAGCTATACCTTAGCGTTTTAATTTCGTCCCGATGCTTCCATCGACCGCGGCACTCCTATTAAAACGTATTTACTTACGGCATTCCTATCTGGTAAGTAATGTAGAAGCACGAAGATCCAAGCACATTTTCCACCGCCTCTGTCCCATCTCTATGCTCATTCTTATCGTGAGATTTATCCACGGAAGTAGGGCACATGGTCCCGTGGTTCTTATTGGACAATAGGCGTCTGTTAGGAATCAGTATCAGTTTATTGAGGGAAAGATAGGCGAACGCCTTTGAATTCCCTGTTGGTAACAAGATGATGGGAAATAAATGGATACAAAGAAAAATGTAAAAATTATGTCAATTATGTGCTCCGGGAAGACATCACAGTTGTTAGGTAGTCAAATAGTAACAAGAGATGATAGAAAATGATGACGACTTGCACATCACGAGTAGTATTATTTGATGCAGTATATGTGATGCAGTATAATGTGATGCAGTGTTTTTTACATGGTGCGTATGTGAGTGTGTGCTTGATGCATTTCCAGTCTACTCCTAAATTAACTAACACAAGTGGAGAGGACAACTTTTTCAGGAAGGGCGTTCCACGTTTCAACTACTCTGTTGCTGAAGAAGAAGTTTCGTCCGTCGATTCTTGTTTTGCCGGGGCGTAGTTTAAGGGGATGCCCGCGCAAAGGTGGCATAAAAAACTGGGCAAAGAAAACGTCACGAACGAAACAACAATCTAGGTTGTTCATTATACGGAAGGTAAGTATGAGGTCCCCTCGAAGTTTTCTGTAGAAAAGGGGAAATAGGTCGAGGGTTGACAGTCTGCTTTCATAGGGCAATATTTCTAGACCTTTGACCATTTTTGTCGCTCACCTCTGGATCTTCTCTAAGACGGTACAGTCTTTGACAGTCGAAGGTCTCCATGCCTGTTTATCGAATTCCAGGTGCGGTCGAACGAAGCTTCGAAAGATTTCGGAAAAGCTGTCTTTTTCAAACCCAATAAAGGCTCGTCTACTCAGTTGTAATATAGATCTGGCCAACTTCGACGCCTTCGTACAGTTCAACGTTGGTTTTAGTGAAGAAGTAATCTACAACTCCCAGTCCTTCTGACTCTCAACTTGTTGCAGCGGTGTAACGTTTAATTAATAGACCTTTGTGCTGGATGCTTTACAACTGCCGATTTAAAGTAAGTTGCATTTACTAACATTGAAAGTCATCAGCCAAAGCTTTGGCAAGTCCTCCAATCTGTTCAAGTTAGTTTGCAGATGGTTTTCGTCTGTGGTATTTTGGACGACCTTCCATAATTTGATGTCATCAGCGAACAAGGTGAAATCACAGTCTAGATCCCTGACACAGTCGTTAATGAAAACAAGGAATACTGTGAGACCTAAAACTGAGCCCTGTTGGATGCCACTCACCACAGGTAACCCCGAGGACTGCTGGCGACCGACTTGTAATCTTTGGAACAGTCCTGTCAAAAAGTTTTGGATCCATAGGAAGAGGGTCCCACGAACGCCTGCGCTGCGCAGCTTATGCAGCAGGCGCTGATAAAGGACGATGTCGAACGCCTTTTCGAAGTCAATGTAGATCGCATGCACCATTTTGCCCTCATCACGTGGTTTGGTCTAGCAATCAAGTGAGAAGAGCAGATTCGTAAGACAGGACCTACCACTGCGAAAACCGTGTTGGGCATCGGTAAGGCGGTGATGTTGCTCGAGGAACTGCATCAACGCCTTCTTAATGATTTTTTTATGGTTTTGCAACAAATGGAGGTAAGGCTCACGAGCTGGTAATTATTTGCGAACGCTCGGCTTCCACTCTTGAAAAGGGGATTAATCATCACTGTCTTCCAATCAGATGGTAGGCACCCAGTAAAAAATGACGCCTGGAAGATTAGGGCTAGCAGCTTGGTCATTTCAGAAGCTAGCTCCTTCAACAGCTTGGCTGGGATTGCATCGGGGCCTGATGAGGTCGATTCTTTCAAATTAAAAAGCTCATTCTTAACTACATCGTCGGTGAAGAGGACTGTATCAATAGATGGGATCGAATTGTCTTCATAAGTGTGGGATAAAAAACCGGGTTCAGTCGTCTCGAGGGACCGGAAGAACTGAGAGAGATGACCAGCTTTATCCTTGTCCTCTGAGATTTTGGCACCTTCGACAGATCGCAGTAGGGAGATAGGATCCATGTTCCGCGTGCTCTGTCTTATATAACCGTAAAGGACTTTGGGATTAAGCATGACATGGGTTAACAGATCCTCTTCGAACATCTGTCGATCTCCGACAATGCTCTGTAATCTCTTGAAAATATGGCCAGGATTAAGCGGTATCATTGCTGTTATTAAATCCGTTTTCCGCGGAAGAAGCACATCTCATTACTGCCAAATCCCTTTTCTAGATAGTACTGCGCCTCTTTATATTCGGTTGTGACTTTGAGAGAGAAGACACAGAGGTAAAAGCAACAGGGTCACTCAACCCAAATAGCGGGTTTGAGTTAAATTCCCTTACGGGAAGCAATGGAAGGATTGTCTGGTGTAAAACGCATGCCGCATCGGCTGCCCTCATTTGATGTAGCCTGCCAATGAGGGCGGTTACCGGTGTGTGGCACCTGAACTAAGCTTACCTTTGAACCGCCACAGGGGGAGAGTAAGGTGCCAATTAAGTGGCGATTGAAACAGTTACTGACTGCGCAATCCAAATGCTGTCACCTAATGCGACCAGCACGCTCTTGACCCACCTACCGAAGGGGTCGAGTTTTTCCTCTAGATGCACTGGACCAACTCGGAGGCCAGGTCACTACACGCGCACGATATTCGGGTTGCGTCCTCATAATAATTGATGGGATCTTAATAAGATTTGGGTTGTGACCGACAGCCAACAATGCTGCCCGACTCCTTGTTCAGTGCAGCTGCCCTAACTTCATTCACCTAGGCTAAAGACCCTTGACCGACTTCACCGTGCGCACACACGGTCGTTCAAATAGTCGCGGCTGCCAAAAGGCCACTTGAACGCACCTCGGCTGATGCAGCCAATTTACTAGGCCGCACAATAACATAAATGCAGCTGCCGGCTCTCTTTCTCACGCTTTTCCTCTCAGGCCTGACTGGACATAGTCAACGCCTACCTTGGATTCGCCAGTGGCTACTGCTTTCTGGGAAAGCAACTCGGTGCTGTGTGTACAATAAAGTTCTCATTTCGGTGTCTCTTATCTTCTCCTACAATCCGGGCTTTGGCCTGGCGCACCCGAAAAAAACACTACTTAGAAGCCACATAGGTGGGGGCGTGGTAACAGGCGTAAGTACAGACTCCTGACGTCCCAGCCACCCGCCCAAGACCTCGCCTCTGATCTTTTTGGCTTTTTCTTGAAACCGGACGCAAGGTGGATGAAGGAAGAGAGTGTGCGGTTCATGGAGCTCAGGCGAACTAGCACTAAGTACTAATCTTGGCGCATGTCATTGTATCTGCGCAGCGTGTTTTGTAGCATCCGCCGCACTCCGTGGCCTCGACAAGGAGTATTTGATGAACGGGAGGAGGAGAATCAAATTAATTGAAATTCGCACAGTATATCTATAACAAGCAGGCGCACGATGACGTTCAAAAAATTGTACGCGAAACGAAGATGACCTTCGCCAACTCTGTCTTACGCTAATCAGATCCAAAAATTAGAAACTCATTTGTCAACCGGATTGCAGGTACCTTATGTCCTGACAGGACCCCCTCTGTACT